ATGCTCTACACACATACTGTATAAACATATATAGAGGGAGGTGAAGTCCAGGGACTGGGTTAAATCCATAGGATAAAATTTTAATTATAAAGTCTAAAAAAACAAAAATAATTTATGTAATCTCAAATGCATAAAGAAAAGAAAAAGAAATGTAATAAACCAAGAGAATTATGTCAGAAAAAGAGAGAAAAAGTGGCCCAGATGGCCCTAACCCCAGATCCTGTAATCACTTTCCACACCCCTGTATATATACAATATATAATTATTGTCAATTACAAAAAGTTCATAAAAATTGCTAGATATATATTTTTATCACTATTTACTTTTAAAACTACGAAAATAAAAATTCAACAAATACTTATGAATACATATTCTGGTTTATAAAACTTCTAAAATATCAATACTAAATTAATATTAAATAATTGTAAAAAAAATAAAATAAATTTAGAATGAAAATAAACATTATACACATATATTATTTTCATTCTAAATTTATGTTATCTTTTTTAAAATACATAAAAAAATTAAAATTAATAATAAAAATTTATAACATTACAGTACTGAAAATTAACATTAAAATAATATTTTTTACATTTGAAATTATAAAATATTTTAAATCTTTTAATTCAATTAAAATGATAGATAAACAATTCTGTTTTTAATGATAAAAATACACAATGACATTCACTTGCAATTAAAATTTTCAAGAACTAAATTATATTTGAATTTAAAAATTACATTATATATCAAAAATTAATAATAAAAATTCTTATTAACTTATCAATTAAAAATAAAAGAATGCATATATTTTGATTATTTAATTAAATATTTTTAAAAATTTTACAAATATTAAAAACAGGAAATTGTAGATTTTGAATATAAGTATTCAAAATCTACAATTTTGAATACTTATATATAGCTTAATTTAAAATACTATTAAAGTTTATCAAAAAGTGTTTTTATTATTTTTATAAACTGTTTTAAAATTTTAAACATTTTATATTTCCATTGGACTGTAAATCCAATAAAAGCATGGTCTTATAACTTAACAATTAAATGAAAATATTAGAAACAGCACAAGTTATTATTACAAAAGACATCAAAATAAAATGATTATTATTGAAATTTAAGACATTCAAAACTATATCTGAGTAAACTTATATAAAAAAATATTTTTTTTAAAATATCATATTTTCTTTATAACATATTTTAATGTAAAAAAGTTGTTAAAAACAATAAAAAATATTGAAAAACTTTTTATTGTAATCTTCAACAGGAATTATTGTTAAAATTTTTCATGGTAATAAATGAACTAAATATATGCTAAAATTTTTCAATGGTAATAAATGAACTAAATATGCTAAAAAATAAATCAACCATATTATCATAAAGTACTCAGCAAATCACCAAACATATAAATAATGCCTTATCCTTGCTGAGAAATATATTTTTTGAAATAAATCAACCTTATTTGACTGTAGTTTAGAAAAGTTGTTAAAAACAATAAAAAATATTGAAAAACTTTTTATTGTAATCTTCAACAAGAATTATTGTTAAAATTTTTCAATGGTAATAAATGAACTAAATATGCTAAAAAATAAATCAACCATATTATCATAAAGTACTCAGCAAATCACCAAACATATAAATAATGCCTTATCCTTGCTGAGAAATATATTTTTTGAAATAAATCAACCTTATTTGACTGTAGTTTAGAAAAACAAAAATTAAAAAAAAAAAAAAAACCAGAAATAGTAAAAAATAAAATATTCAATCAATTAGAACATCTTCATAATAGAAACTGTATCAAATCTTTTGTAATTAATCATAAAGAGCACAGTTTTTATGTTTTTCTTTGTAACATATGAGAAATTTTTTCATGAATCTTGACTATATTAAACTGTTATCTATGTTCTAGAATTGATTGCAGAAACTTTGCAGAAGTTTGAATTAGGATCACCTAAATAGTTGTCTTTAAAATGTTTAAAATTAAATTTCAAATACATTGATTTAATGATTTAATATAGTTCAATAAAATTTATACAATAAGACTCCACTTAACACTGCCTTGCATAACGCTCATTTGATATAATGCTGATTCAATATAATACTGTCTGCTTGAAGCCCAAAAATAAAGCTCATTATCGCGACATTTTATTGATTCATACAAAATACGATTATTTATGAACACAAACCAATCAGAAAAAGGTGGCAAAAAGGTGTACTTTCTTTAAATGGTTTGTTTGGTGCAATTTTGAAAAAAATATAACATCACAGATGCCATAGCAATATTGGCTTTGCTTGGCAAGAATTAACTGATAAATGCACAAACAAAGTGTGGAAGAAGTTATGGCTGACGGTATCCAATAATTCTTAACAAGAAGAACCTATTGCTGTATTGTTAGGTTGATCAAACTCAACCTAATCGATACAACAGGAACAGGATATTAAGTTACCGCAGATTTCTGGTGAGAGTCTTATCAATGACAACTTTCAAGAACTGGCAGAAAAGGAATCCATGTAGA